GGGAACCATATTTTTCTGAACACCGAGCAGATGCAGTGTTGTTCACGGGGCCGGTACACCTGCCAGTTCTTGGGCCCGGTCCTTTCCTCGACGGTGGCGAAAGCGCCGGTCTGATCGTCTACGAAATATGAGGGTGTCGCCAAAGGCTCCTCTGCCACCCATTCCTCGACCGGACGAACTTTATCCTCGACAGTAGGAACTTCTGGTTTTTCGTCCACGTCCATGGTCCCCGGGACCCACAAAGTCATGATCACCTGAAAACCAGAAGGAAACGGTGAATTTGATGTCCAAGATCAAATTCACCCTTCTACCGCAGGCCAAGTGAAAGGGCGACGGGGACAACATCCGCGATGATAGTAAAGGCCACCCTGGCAGCCGTCATCGGGGGATTCATTCTATACCCCTCATCGTCCCCGGGATACACGTCTGACCATAGGGCGCGCCCTAGAACGTCCATCTAATCCCTATCATGCGTCCCCGGGGAATTCATCTAGCCCATTGATCGTCCCTGGGGCATTCATCTAACCCTAACGTTCGTCCCCGGGGCATTCATCTAAAATTAACACTTGTCCCCGGGGAGCTCAAACTACCCCATCGCACGTCCTCGACGCATTCATCCAAAACCTAGAAAACCATCGCCTATTGCGGCGGAGATCCATCTCCCTCCTCGGGGAACTCAACACACCCGACTCTAGCTTTAACATACGACATAAGGAAAGAACAAGGAAAGTGAACTTAATGGATTACTGGTAACAGAGGAGTATGCGGTGGAGGTTGCGGTGGTGTTGACGAACAGATACAGACAAGTCAATCTTCGCGTAAGAAAGAGAGCAGAAGCGAAAATGACGAATGGGTAGGATCCCGCTTACTTATACCCTCGGCGCGGGACTCGAAGTGTCCCTAGACACTCGAGTGCCCTAGGGTAGCCGCCCCACATGGTCCACTAAACATTTGACACGTGGCGTAGGAAACCAGTCATGTCCATTCGTCCTCCCTGCCTACAATGTCAAACGGGGACACTTCCTTGACCTGAATGCCCGACAACGTGTAGACGTTCACGCCCACACATTCTCGCAAGACACGAGCAGGCATAACATCTCCCTGCGCACTCGCCCTCCTCGGCGCAGCAATATCAAGTCCTCGCTTCTTTACGTTGGAGCTACGACTTGGGGGGCTCCTGTTCTGGACTGGGCCCGGGTTTGTCCAGACAAGCCCACCCCAATTTTATATGGGGAAGGCCCCAAATCAGCCCAACAGGGAGACGTCGAGCACAAGACCTCTGTCGACTAGACACTGCCCTCGCCAAGCAAAGCACCTCAACCGTCGGGTAGGAGCCTCCTCCCCATCGGGCAGAACAACATGTCCTCCACACGTTCTCCACGTGCCCTCTCCGCGGGGGCACGTCATCAGCCAACTACCCACCTCCGAAAGAGGTGGTCAACTCACCTTTCGGATATCATGGGATAGTTGATCTAGGGGGAAGATCACGTCCTGGTCTTCACTACGCCACGTAAGCCCTAGCAGTCACTTGGATTGGGCCTAACCATCCATCCCAACGCAAATGACCGTTGGCCCTGCGCTTGGGTCTCTCTATAAATACCCTCTTTCACAAGAGGGTCAGGGATTCTATTCTAAACCTTCTTTCTGTATTTGCTCTCACTCTAATCCATTCTCTCACTTTGGCATCAGAGCGTCTTGCAGGTACACCACCTCCTCTTCCATTCCTCCGGTGAACAGGTGGCTGACCAACGGTCTCTGGCAGGTCACAAACTTCTTTCTGATCAGGCCAGATCACAATAAATAGACACATGTTAATGTAAATTATATAAATATCCTTATAAAAAGTACGTTATAACTTTTTATATGATTTTCTTTTTAAAGATATTCATCCTTTCAAACACTAATAAATATAAGTTGATAAAAAATAAATTCAAAAAGTTGAGATGAAAAATAGAAAAGTTATTATGGTATTTGTAAAAAATGTGCTAGATATCTCCATTAATAACCCATAAAAATTTAACAAAGAGAAAACCTAACAAAAAGCTCAAACCTATGATCATGAGTGAAACCTTCATCTTTTGAAAATCTTTTGGACATTTTCGTAAAAGCATTTAACTGAAATATGGGAAGAAAAACACAGATTTAAGAGTCAAAATAAAAAAACGAAAACAAAAGCAAACGCAAACAGAATCGAAAATAAAAACAAAATTGATAATAGAATCAAAAACAAAAACATTTCCACTATAAACTAATTCATTTCACAACTTAAAATACCACAACCACCTTATAGATAATGGTCGAACAATTTCGCCTTTAAACAATGACTTCTCTTTAAAATTAGAAAAAAAAAGTCCAATACAAATTCAATTTCCACTCCTAATATTGAGTATGCATAACTTTACCATCAAAATAATGTCATATTAATTTCTACTACCAAATATGCATATGCATTAATTAATGTTGTTATTAGAAATATCATCACAACTTGAATCAAATCCCTATCAATTTTTGCTCCTAACAAACTTCCAGACTCTGTATTAATCATGTCATGCCAATAACAAACTTTTACACAATATACTGATTCAAGGCATAACTTAAAATACCATATGGCTGAAACAATAACCAATATGTAGTTAAAATTCTATCATTAACCTACATTAATATAACAAAAACAATTGGTACTAACAATTTAAACTCCTAACAGTGGCATAACTTTAAAATTAAAACAAAATCCTAACAATTTTAACTTTACTCCTAATATCGAATATGTATAAATTTAAAATCAAAACACAGTCCTATCAATTTCTACCACTAACCATGAATATGAATAAATTTAAAATTAGAGACTTTATCACAATTGAAATCAAAGTCACAACAATTTCTACTCCTAACAATGAATATGATTATATGTAGAGTTAAATAAAATTAACAAAACTGAAAACAACAATCTAAACTTGAATAATGGAATATATGTGGTAACATACGCTGAAATTGAAGGAAATTAACAAAGAAGAAATTTAAAGAACCCTAACTATGGATATGCACAATTTAAAAATCGAATTCGAATCTGAATACTGATAAGAAGTTGAAAGGTTTTTGAAAGGATATAAGATTCATAGATATGCAGAAGAGTGATAATCGTATTCGAATTCAAAAAAGATATGAAGAAGTTGTAATGTTTCTGAACTGATATGATATGAGAAGTTGTAACGATGAATAAATGGGATGTTGCATGTTCGAATTCGCGTCCATATATGTAATTGTTGCGAAACAAATGTAAGTTGTGTTGAGAAATAAGTGTGACTTCTAAGTCTCACATTACTTATAAAAGTGGAGAATAAACACTTTATAACTGAGAGAACCCATGCACATATCACCTTAAAGTTTTGGGTGAATATCTCTCTCTATTATTTAAGCGAGTCTTTGACTTTTAGGTGAGTGTTTGACCTAATGTAAATGTTTCCTCCTCTTGATGATCCATCAGTGGTATAAGAGTCTGGTTCGAGTAAATGATCAACTCCTTGTGTCGAAAGTCTTCCTGACATTGAAGTGTCCATGACGAGATAAAGGTGTCTCTTAACGGAAGTATAAACACGTGAATGAAAGAGTTTTTGTTTCAGGGGAGCATAATGAATGAACTCATATTTAAGGAGGGGGTGTTGGAAAACAAATGGGAATTGTGTTAAAAAAAAACAAATGTGAGTTCTAAGTCTCATATTATTTTAAAAAGTGGAGGTTGAACACTTTATAAGTGAGAAGACAAATACACTTATACCCTTAAAATTTTGGTTGAATATGTAATCTCGCTCTCTTGTTTGAGTGAATCTTTAATCTTTAAATGAGTGTTTGATTCAATATAAATATCTCTCCTTAATAATCCATCACTGATGTTCCTACAAAACTACTAACGTCCAACTAAATTAGTTTAACACACCGACCAATTTAATATTTATTTAGAATTAAAAAAAAACCTTTTAAAAATATTTATACTCATAGACATATAGAAACGTCCTACTAGATAAACAAGTCCAACAACAAAGTAGAACCCATCAACTGCAAGCACAAAGCAAATTTAGGGACAGTACTTCCAGTATGAGCTAAACTAATAAATCAACAAATAAACTTTAAAAAGCTATTATCGACCATTTAATTTCTATTAAGTTATGTTATATAATCTTTTGACACATGGCTACATATAACATATTTACAACCATTGACAACATTGAGAGTTAAGATTATCTAAGTCACCATAAAAAGTCTACGTGAAGGAATATGGAATTATGGTTGGCTGAAAAATATTCACTTCAATTTTAATTTCTTCTTATATATACTTTTCTAGTATTTATTATCATTATTTCTTTACCTACACTCCAATGTGACATTGGACCTAAATTCTTACTCTTACTAAGTTGCCCCAATCCCACTCAACTTTCTACAATATTTTAAATTTCTTAGTTCCAATTTCAATTCTAAATTATTTAAAAATTCATTACTTAGAGAGCTACCTTTAGTAAGAGTAAAAGAGACAAAATCAAAATTTTCAACAAAAAAGAACAAAAACATGCATTTATTCTTCTACAAGTTTTTCATACAAGCAAGTATACAAAGCAAAACTAAACTTGAGATCAAAGCAAAATCATTTTTTTATTCTCATTTATTCACTATACAACCAACCCAATATCTCTCATTGTTAATCTCATTCTCTATTTAGATTTTTATAGTTGGTACCTCTCTTTTCTTTTTCTTAAGTTAAGTGCAAAAGAGAGGTGCAAAAGTGAGGGAGAATTTAATTCCTTCCCACACCTCAACTAGTAGTTGCATGAGAGGAGCATTCATCTTTATACAAGAGACAAGTTTTCCATTTCTATATCCCTTTTTATTAATTATTACTACTTTAGTTTAAACCGTTCTCTCTCTTTTAGTTCTTGTTCCATTAAGAAAAAGAAATTTTCTATATATGGAATGATTGAGGAAATAAAAGAAGAAGAAAAAAAAGAAACATGACTCATTGCAATGAGGTTCAAAATAATCATGGCATCACAATTGATGGAAGAAAAGACAGCTTGATTAGAACTTGTCTCACATGTGGTCATCATATCAAATGCCAAGATCAGGTTCTTGATAAATATATTTTTCCTATAAATATTTATTATTATTATTTTTTAAATTCAATATATTTTTTTAGTATGAATAAATAATTTTTTTTTTGTTATGAATGAGTAATAATTAGGGTGGTGGAATTAATGACTTACCTGGATTACCTGCTGGAGTGAAGTTTGATCCAACAGATCAAGAGATTCTTGAGCATTTGGAAGCAAAAGTGAGGTCTGATATTCATAAACTTCATCCTTTAATTGATGAGTTCATTCCTACTCTTGAAGGAGAGAATGGAATTTGCTATACTCATCCAGAGAAATTACCAGGTTTTTTTATTTTTTATTATTTAAATACAATCTCTCAACTAAATTATTTATTAATTATATAATGTGTCTAAATTTCTGATGAGTTTTATAACTCTAAGATGTTTGGATTTTATTTTTATTTGATAATAACATGATCAGAATGGTTTACCTTTAAGACTTTAGGCTTCAGCAACGTGAAAAAAAGAAGAAATAGCTGTTTTGTTGAAGCAATGTATTTGTATAATAATAATAATAATAATAATAATAATAATAATAATAATAATAATAATAATAATAATAATAATAATAATAATAGAATTTAATTGAAATGCACTGACTGTGTAAAAAGATTTTACAGTTAATAATAATTCTTGGATATTAGAATAAGATTGAGTTTTATTTTAATCATTAATAAAGTAATATTAACGGATAAAACTTTTTACACCTATAGCGTATAATAATTAATCTCATAAAAATAATGATAAACTTTAATTGATATATACTAATTTTACTCTTTCATTCAATAGAAATATATCGATCTATTATGTCATACTATTAATTTAAGATTTATAGTTTAATGTGTCGGAATAAAGAAAGTGATTAATTAACAATGTAAAATTATAAAATTATTTTACTCATGAAATTTATAATAATATAATATAATATAATGTGGTGCTAATTATATCATATGTTACAATTCAATACAAATAATAGTCGCATTTAAATTAGAATATCTCAAAAAAATGTAGAATAAAACCGAAAACATTATGGTTATATTTAGTTAATAAAAAATTTAAAAAATATTTTTTTTTAATTAAAAATACTAAAAATAAATTAATTTTTTTAATTTAAAATATTTGGAAAAGGTATAATAATTCAATTTTTTAATAAATAATTCTATTTAAGAAAAATTATTTTCTAACAATTTGATATAATTTGAATTTTCAAATAAATATATCAAATTTAAAATTTTGATTCAATTCTATTATAAGTAAATTAAAATGGTTCGGTTTAGTTCAGGTGTAAATTTAGAATGATTATTTAAATGTTTTACATTTTTTTTTAGCCTCAGAACACATGCAAAGATTAAATTGTTTTCATTGTTGACATGATAATATAAGGTGTAAGCAAAGATGGCCTAATCCGGCATTTCTTCCACCGACCATCGAAGGCATACACAACAGGAACAAGAAAAAGAAGAAAAGTTCATTCAGATCACGAAGATGGCAGCGAAACCCGATGGCACAAAACAGGCAAAACAAGACCAATCTACAACAATTCCAAGCTAAAAGGCTACAAAAAAATCCTCGTACTTTACACTAACTATGGAAAGCAAAGAAAACCAGAGAAAACAAGTTGGGTAATGCATCAATATCATCTTGGTAATGATGAAGAAGAGAAAGAAGGTGAGTTAGTTGTGTCCAAGGTTTTCTATCAAACTCAACCAAGACAATGTGGTGGCAACTCATTGATGATGAAAGACTCTATTGTTGGAAAAAGTTTGAAGGGTCAAAGTGGGAATAATATTGAGGTAATCAATGGTGAAAAGAGTATTAGTGGATCATTTGTTGAGTACTATCATTCTAATTTCATATCATTTGATCAAGGGAATCAACATATGAAATGAAGATGGACAAAATATAAATAAATATTATGCAAAGATATTTAAAATAAGTTAATAAATATACTTTAGTTAGGAGATAATAAATTGCTTCATTTGAGACCTATTTTACTTTTGTTAGGATCAAGTAAGAGATTGGTGAAGTGAAGTGAAATACTTTTATTTGTATCGTTCTTCTTCTCTTAAATATTAATTTTTAGTAGCGTTAAAGCCATCATATCCATGTCCATGTTTGGTAAATACTAACTTATGAAATAGGTTTTACCTTAAAAATCTAATGTCTCATAACAAATGAGAGTTTTGACATAGACGTTTCTATATGTGTATGAGTATGAAGAAAGTATCTAATATAATATCCTATTAATTAAGATTATGTTAATTTTTCATAACAATAACGTTACGGTCTCAACAAATGAAAAAAGAGATACCCTGTGGTGGAGAGATGTGATATCAGTGGGAGCGTATTCAGTGGAGGAGCAAAACTAGTTTTCTAAGTCCATCAGTTGTAGACGGGAAAGGCCAAAAACATTGGCTTTTGGAAGAATAACTGGCTAGGACATGTTCCTTTGAACATTTATATTGATGGTATTTTAGAGGTGGTATGTGATAAATTATATTATTGCAGAATTTAGAGTAAGAATATTTTTTGATCATGTGTTTTACTGAACTTCCATTGGTGAAAGTTAGGCTTGAAATACTCCGATTTTATTGAACTCGCCACACACTCTTTTTTCTTGCTTGCATACAACTTAACATTACAAAGCCTTTATATAGGTTTGAAGGAAACTCATAAAGAATACAATAAGTTGGTAATCAAGATGAAGACTCTTTGATTCTCTCAATTTTAATGATACAACTCTACTACAAATCTAAATAAAGACAATAATTATAATGTGATTGTTAGAATTCTCTCATAATACTTACTAAAGATAGTTGTGGTTAGAACACATTAATTTTAACACTCCCTCTTAATGTGTTGTTCTTTAACTCCCATTGCTTCTCTAAGTTGCTGAAATCATCCTCTTGGTAGTGCTTCAGTAAAAATGTCTGCAAGCTGCTTTTGTGAATTGCAGAAAGCTAACTGCACATCTCATTCTTCAATCACACTTCGAATGAAGTGATGCTTTATGTTAATGTGTCTGGTCTGGTTATGAAAAACAGGATTCTTTGCCGTGGAAATAACTAATTTGTTGTCACAATGAAGTTGTAGACTTCCTTCTTACTTCTCTCCAATGTCTTCTAATATTCTTCTCAACCAAAGTGATTATTGTGTAGGCAAACCAGCTGCTAAATACTCAAGATTGTGCCACAATATCTTACTTCTTTGAGCACCAAGAGATCACACTTGAACCAAGGTTGAATACATAACCTAAAGTGCTCTTCATATCATCAACGCTTCCGGCCCAATCACTATCACAATAACCTTTAGCTTTAAGTTTAGAATTCTTCTCAAATCTGATTTCATGCTCCATGGTTCTCATGACATATCTTAGAACACTTTTTGTTGCCCCAAGATGTAAATGACTTGGTTTACTCATAAATCTTGAGAGTAAACTAGCAACAAACATTAAATCGGACCTTGAAGCTGTAAGATAAAATAAGCTTCCAACCAAATTTATATACATGCTTGCATATACTAATCTTCCACCATCTTCCTTCTTTAATTTTTCATTCACCACTAAAGGAATATCAACAGGTTTGCATCTATACATGTCAAACTTTTTCAAAATATTTTCAGCATATCTCTTTTGACAAATAAAAACTACATATTCATCTTGGTAAACCTCAATACCAAGAAAATGATGCAGCAAGCCAAGATCACTCATTTCATATTTTTTCATCATTTATATTTTAAATTTTTCAACCATTTTCTTGTTGTTACCCGTATACACCAAATCATCAACATAAAGGGAAACAAGTAGGATATCATTTTTACCTTGATGCTTCACATACAAGGTAGGCTCACTTTAACTTCTTTGAAATCCTTGTTGAATGAAGTAGCTATCAATTTTACTATGCCACGCTCCAGGGGCTTGTTTCAACCCATAGAGAGCTTTCTTCAACTTGTAAACTTTTTTCTCTTGCCCTTTAGTCACAAAGCCTTGAGGTTGTTGCACATACACCTCTTCTTTTAATTCTTCATTCAAGAAAGCTGACTTCACATCAAGTTGGTATAAATTCCAACCTTTTTGAGCTGCTAACGCAATGATTGTTCTCACAGTGTCCAAACGTGCAACTGAAGCAAAAGTCTCACCATAGTTTTCCTGGTTGTTGTGCATAACCTTTGACTACTAATCTAGCATTGAATCTTTGGATTGAACCATCTGGATTATGTTGCAATTTGTACACCCACTTTACTTTAATAGCTTATTTGTCATTTGCCTTTTCAACTAGTTGTCATGTGTTGTTCTTCTCAATTGCATTTATTTCTTCTTGCATTGCATTCCTCCAAACATCTTCTTTGGTTGCTTCATCAAAATTTTCTGGTTCTACAACACAATAGTTGCAACTTGCATAAATATCACTCAAATCCTTTAATTTTATTGAAGCTGAGCTGGGAGATGATGAACTTGAAATTGGTGAACTTGGAGAGGATGAAGAACTTGGTGTACATGGGGCTGGTTGCTCATTTCCAGCTGCTGAATTTTGTTGTAATATAATTGTAGGGACTGTTTTTTCTTTCATTATGTCTTCTTAGAAATTCCAAGAAGCCTCTTCATCAAATACAACATCCTGGCTAATGATGACCTTATTTGTCTTCAAGTTGTAAAGTCTAAATCCCTTTGACATGGAACTATAGCCAATAAATACACATATTTCACTTGTTTCTTCCATCTTTGTCCTCTTTTGTTTAGGAATTTGAGCATAACAAACACACCCAAAAATTTAAGGTGGTTAACTGAAGGTGTTCTTCCACTCCAAGCTTCAAATGGAGTCTTATTCTATACAGCCTTTGTTGGACACCTATTCAGCAAATACACAACAATATTAATAGCCTCAGGCCAAAAGGTTTTAGGCAAACCTTTCTCAAGTAGCATAGACTTTTCCATCTCCATCACGTTTTGGTTCTTTCTTTCAGATACACCATTTTGCTGAAGTGTATAGCCAACAATGAGTTGTGTTTCAACACCTTCATCTTTTGTGAAATTCATTTGAGGTGTACTCCTTCCTCCTGTCACTTCTCAACATTTTTATAAACCTACTACTTTGTTTCAACAAAAGCTTTAAACTTCTTAAAAATTACAAAAACTTCAGATTTTTGTCTCATAAAATATACCCATGTCATGCGGGTAAAATCATCAATAAACAAGATAAAGTACATGTTTTTGCCATGAGACAAAGTATTCATAGGGCCACACACATATGTGCGTAAAAGTTCCAACACTTGTTTGGCTCTCCATTCTCATTCATTTGGAAATGGTTGGCGGTGGTGTTTGCCAAGCATACATCCTTCACACACACCATATTTTTCTTCAATTATTGGCAGCCCATACACCATCTTCTTTTGATAAAGCAACTTTAAACTATTGTAGTTCAAGTGCCCAAGTCTCTTGTGCCACAAACAAGAGTCATTATCTTCTCTAACCATCATGCTGAAAGTTTTCTCATAATTAAGAGAAAGTGGAAAGCTTCTATTTCTGGTCATTTTTGCAGCAACAACATTTCTTCTCTTTGAATACAAAATTTTGCACTCTCGATTCTCAAAATTTAGAGAATAGCCATGCTCCAAAAGCTGTCCAATGCTTAGCAAGTTCTCATTTAACTCTGACACATAAAGAGTATCATGAATGACTTTGCTTCCTTACTTTGTTGTAACTCCAATGATGCCTTTGCCTTTTACTTCAACATGTTCTCCATTATCCAATTTAACTTTTGAGCCAAATGAAGAATCAATGTTGATAAAAGCTTCTTTCTTTCTGGTCATGTGATTGCTACAACTGTTATCCAAATACCACACATTTTTATCTTCTTGAAATTCTTTTTGACAAGAAAAGAACAAATTACCTTCATCATTTTCTCCATCTGCAAATGAAGCATGTTGTTGATTGGTAAAACGACAATCCTTTTGAATGTGCCCGAATCTCTTTCAATTGTGACATTATGGTTTGCCCTTGTTCTAGCAATCTTTCTCATCATGAGTGTTACTCTTACAAATTTTACACTGTTTATTTGATTCTCCTTCATGCCATCTTCTGCCATTCACGCCTCTTCCTATTCCTCGTGAGTTTCTTCATCTTCCTTTGCCTTTTCCAAATCTTCCACCTCTAGAAGACTCACCTCTATTTTGTATCAGGTGCTTATTTTCACCATTGTTGGGATGAATGTTGAGCTTAGATTTAAAGGCGCTCTAAATTGATTTTCACAGTGTTGTAACATCCTTTGCTCGTAGGATGTCAAAGACCCCCATCAACCCTCACTATGCCATAAAAGACCTTTAGCAGAGCTTAAAAGCGCTGCATAAAGTGGCGCGGCTGTAGATAAAGGCAGCGTGTTTTTTTAAGGCAAAAGCGCTGCCTTAGGTCCCCTTTAGGCAGCGCTTCTGTTTAAAAGAGCTCTCTAATGTCACCTTTAGGCAGCGCTTTTTCATGAAAAGCACTCTCTTTCCCCTCTTTAGGAAGCACTTTTGAAAGCACTTTAATATGTATATTTTCTTCATATTTTAGGCAGCGCTTTTTCAAAAAAAGCGCTCTCTCTTTTCCCTTTTTAGGTAGCGCTTTTGAAAGTAATTTCTAATGTATAGTTTCTTTAGATTTTAGGCAACGTTTTTTCATGAAAAGCGCTATTTTTTCTCTCCCTTTTGGCAGCGCTTTTGAAAGCGCTTTCTAATGTATAATTTCTTCATATTTTAGGCAGCGCTTTCTGTAAAAGCGTTGCATTAGGTCCACTTTAGGTAGCACTTTTCTTATAAAGCACTTTCTTTTCTACACGTCATTAGATATTTTCAAAAGCAATTTTTTTAAAAGCACTTTTTTAAATAAACACTTTTTTAGGAAGCGTTTTTTTGT